TTTTGAAAAAATGAGATCATCATGCCGTCACAAGGTTTTATTTAAAACTCATTGGAGCATGCAGTGAATAAGGCAGCTGGATCATGTGTATTAGCGGCAGTAAAACTGAAAAAAAAAGTTTTTAACTGTCAAATGTGGTAATGTGACAACGAAAAGACGGGAATAGTAGAGTATATCATGTTTTGATCACCATGCGACGTTTTCATGCATACTAAGGAAAAATTTTTTTTCATGAAAGACGTTGCACCGACATACCATTCTGAAAAAAGCTGCACAAATTTTTTGTGTAGGTTTTCAATCAATCATAAACTTTACTCGTCCTTCTTTTGTTTTCATAGTGAAATTACGTCAACGCGTCAACGCTTTGAAAGAGGAAGACGAAACCACAGCGATCCATTTTGCTTGTCAGATCAGTCAAAAAGTTCGTAACGTTTTTCAGACTTCGATAAAAACAAAAAAATGAAACGGTTTGAACGCTATTCGACGCACTTTCTTCCTCCATGTGGCAGCTGCTTTGAAATTGTTGCTCTTGTAGTCACTGAAATAATAGAAGTTTGGGACTCATGTTTTTTATATGGCCTATCTGGCAGTTTCAAAATTGCAACTTGAGCTTTTGGAAGAACCATTATAGCCGACCTTTCAGTACTTTTCAAGATAATTTCATCAACAAAGTCTTTACTTTTGCGCAGTTGGGTCATACACGAATGAATTATATTGAAATTTCTGAAGTCGAAACGTCCAAAAACAAAATTTTCAGCACTAATTTTACAAAGCAAATGGGTGTATACCATTTCTAATTATCAACTTATTTTCGAGTACATTGGAGTACGTAAGAAGAAGTTGTAATGAATTCCCACTCAATCTTCACAAAACGGAAAGAGAAAGTATTGTTGGTGCAAAAGTAATGCGCGTTTTGCGAGTTCTCACTTTGACGTGCTATAACTTTTTGAAAAATCCATATTTTTAGGTGCGGCAAAGTTCAACAAGGGCACCAAAACTCTCTCTATACAGCGCACATCAACTTATGTTATTATCGCAAACCGATGGAAAAATATGGATTGATAAGCAAAAAAATTTTTTCTCGGAAACATCGTATTTAACTGATCATAACTTCCTTCAAGATTTGTCCGCATAAATGATAAGTTTACTGTCATGTAGCCGCAAGCCAGTAGTACAAAAAAGTACAAAGGGCGAAAAGGAAAAATATTTGCGAAAAGGAAAAAAAATAATCTTCAAAATTATCCGCTTTTTTCGACATTTTTTCGTAGCCCTCAAAATCTCAAAATATGGAGATTCTTGATTTTCTGTGCACTGAAAACAGCTTCCACATTTCCGCAAAAACTATCAACAAAAGGCTCACCCTTACGCTTATAGAAATGAGCAGAACTTTGGCGATTGCCCTCTTCAAAGGAGTTAATGGGCCACAGAATGTCCAAAACCATCACTCATGTTGAGGCGCCGAGATCTCAGTCTAAGTAGTTTCTAGGGAAAAAGTAAAGCGTGCATAACGTAGAAAATTTCCACTACATACAGTAGTTAAACTTTTAAAAGAACGCCTTCACTCGCGCTTGAATTCTGGCCCAAAAAGTAAGTGCAATGAAATTCTGGTTTTGAGTGCGGTTGTATGAAGCTCTATAAGTTTTTAACAAATGAGGCTAGAAGCTTTTTTCAACCACCGTTGAATAGAGCATGAAAAAAGCTTCTTGACACTATGCGGGATAAGTTTCATAGGAGAAACTTCGATGGAGATAAGCTATCTTGAAACAAGGGCTAGAAAACTCGCATTACTTTTGCACCAACCTAATATTTGTCAAAAAAGAAAAGAAAAAGCTGCAAGAAAGCCAGAGATGAGAACGTTGAACAAATCCTTGATAGAATTCACGTACGATTTTCGCGAACGTTGCTAAGTCGAAAACGCAAGATAAAAACTCCGTTTTTGTCAAAACCGCGAGCCTGTCCAGTTGCGCAGCGGAAAAAATGCAGCCAATATATTAGGTTGATGCAAAAATAATGAGCGTTTTTATTTGCTTGCTTTAACAAAGCAACCAGTCTCAACCCAACAAAGGGTAAGGGGTACTGTTCGATAGAGCAAAGCAAGCTCTACAAGACGGCACTCATGTCTTTGCGCCATGCTCGATTCACTGAGAGTTCGAACTCAAAATCTAAAGATTTCCAAATGCCCAAAAAATCGAAAAAAATCAGATCTTCGTCCAAATAATTTCTACGGACCTCCCACTCTCTCACATCAATACTATCGATACCTGATATCCATATGTGCGATTGCCGTATTTTTTCCTTGACTAGAAACTGAGAAAACGAAAACTTTCCTGATTTTTTCAAAGCAATGCTGAGCCGTTTTTGCATATGTAGTTCTATACTACAAGCCTAGATAAGCATAACTGTAGATTTTCAGCCCATTCCAAGCGATAGTTTTCGAAAAATAACGAATTCGGATTTTTTCGTTTCAGTTTCAGTGCTAAAATCGACATTTCTCGAAAGGTACCGCTCGAAATAGGCTGAAAACCTACAGTTACGCTCACCTAGGCTTGCAGTATAGAACTACATGTGCAAAAACGGCTCAACATTGCTTTGAGAAAATCAGGGAAATTTTCGTTTTCTCAGTTTCTAGTCAAGGAAAAAATACGGCAATCGCACATATGGATATCAGGTATCGATAGTATTGATGTGAGCGAGTGGGAGGTCCGTAGAAATTATTTGGACGAAGATCTGATTTTTTTCGATTTTTGGGCATTTGGAAATCTTTAGATTTTGAGTTCGAACTCTCAGTGGATCGAGCATGGCGCAAAGACATGAGTGCCATCTTGTGGAGCTTGCTTTGCTCTATCGAACAGTACCCCTTACCCTTTGTTGGGTTGAGACTGGTTGCTTTGTTAAAGCAAGCAAATAAAAACGCTCATTATTTTTGCATCAACCTAATATGAGCATAAAGGAGAGAATAATTTCAAGCAAAGCTTGGATTCGCACAGTTAGGGGACAATAATTTATATTATGAGCCAAATGAAGTCCTTAGCATTATTTATTCCACAGAAAAGTGGAAAGACAAGTCCACACTGGTGGTCACACGCCACTCCAAATTTTTTTCTGGTCTTCGCAGTTCATAAATCCTTGAAGGCGGCGTACACCCAAGGTCCACAATGCTCAGACAACTATATGTTGTATGAGTATGCCTTAGAAGAAGACCAACTGCGTTGGTCCGGTCCTCTAGTGTTGTTTCCAAATGAAAAACTTGGACTTGGATTCCTTTTACGGTTCTCCCCCTTTTCTGCGCTCCTCCCATTCACTGACGACTTCCTGAAGCGTTCTGACTAAACAAGTACAGTTGAGGCACTTACTGTGCAACTATATTACTATTGCATACGGCGGCATTTGCTGTTGCATGCGACGGGAAGAATGCCGTAGCACTTGTCCACTCCTGTCGAATCAAAGTTTCAGAAAAAAAGTTTTTTTGGAGTTTCCACGTGTTTGCACTCCTTATTCAGATCAGGACCACGGAAAGGCCTAAAAACGATAGAATATTGATGACGAAAATGTGGGTGGACGCTGCCTTTAACCGGTGCGAAGTCGAATTCGTGATGAATTAACCATATTTATGATAGATTTTGCTTTCAATGCAAGTGTTACTGGCTGGATGTAAAATCTCTCTCTCTCTCTAAAATATTAGTAATACTAGATGGCTTACCCGGCTCCGTCCGGCCCTGTCATTATTTTATTCGTAATCAGCATGCTCGATTACCCCCCTGTACCAACTCCCAGCCCCGTAGCTCAAATTTTGCAAAAAATCGATAAAATCGATATCGAGATGACGAAAAGTAGCCTATGACACCCGCCGGGGCCCGATGTGTATGTGTGCCAAGTTTGGTCCGGATCGGTTCAGAAATGGAATTTTCTATTCGGAACATACGTACAGACATACGTACAGACATACAGACAGACAGACAGACATACAAACAAACATTCAGCTTTATATATAAGATTGATAGAATAACGAAAAAAACATCTATCCAGATTCCCTTTTCAATGTTTATGCACAAGCTTTTGAGCATTGTTAATTCAAATTGTAAAATTTCTTTGTGTCTTGACGGGCAGTTGCTGATAAATAGGAAAAGCCAACAGTTTTAACTTAAGCACAGAAATTATCCAGCTTTAAGACCGTAAATAATTTATCTGTTTCTCTTTAGCTGCTATTAGACCTTTACGGCTCCTAAAACCTCAATTTTCTCAATTTATGATTGTAAAACATACGTTGGGAAAGCATTTTTGAGGACCATATGAAGCATATTCTGCTTTGTACTACATTGAAAGGGAAAGAAATAAAGGAAATCAAAGTGTCAGACACTGAAAGGATGAGATCTTTCTTACTATCAAGACAATATCTCAGATCATTCAAGAATGTCAATAGTTATAGTTTATTGAATGGGCAAGACATATTGTTGATTCTCTGCCTCCATCAATCAAATTCAAGGCTGGATTGATACTGAATGATATTCGTCCAAAACGATTTCTGCTATGGTAAATTCGATGATTTGTGGTGGTGTATGTCATTAGTTTGTCGTAGTAACCAAAAACCGTTGGGACTTTTTATTTTTATTGCGGAAATTACAAATCATTACTATCAGTTCTGAGCGTATATATATAGGCAAGAATCTCGCAAACTGAATTAAATGCAGATTTCAGACTGTGTCAAAATGCTGCACTTATACCGGATGCAATGAGTTCAACAACCTCCTCATAAAATCTTAATCTTTCACAGGAAACTAACAAAAGCGATTTAGCTATTCAACAGCATTTGGAAATGCTCGAGGTTCTATGTGTTCGTATCCAAATCTCAAGAAATAGTCTTCGCAGATATTGAACAAACGCTTTTCTCTGACTGTGACTGCAAATACATGAGATGGGATGAATGCATTTATTTTACATGCATCAATAATAAATAAACTAAAGTTATGATACAAAAGCTATACATAATGGCAGAGATAAATCTACTTCTTTCCTGCAACCGCATAACCTCCTCCTCCTCCTACTGGAGGTGGAGCCACTGCGTAACCTCCTCCCGTTACTGGTGGTGGTGCAACTCCTCCACCACATCCTCCGACTGCTCCTCCTCCTCCTCCTGCAGGGCAAGGGCAACAGCTGAAATGTTTAGTAAAAGTTAGTTTGGTAAAATTTATGATTCTGCTGATGAAAATGGATTATACAGATTCTTACCAGCAGCAGGCACCTGCACCTGCACCTGCACCTGCTCCTGCGCCACCACCACCAAACAAATTGAAAAAGCACGCTTCTGAGTAGGATAAAAGTGTCAAAAGAGCAAACAACTTCAGCATGCTAGAGGAATGAGCCGTAGTTCGTGTTGATAAGGCCTGGATATCACTTGAGAAGCCTGTTGAGTAGGATGGAATAGCGCTGGAGAAGCAGACCTACCTGCTAGAGATCTTTAGGGTATGATGAGACGTTGAAGCTGGATGGGAGAGCTTAAATAGTCACAACGATTTTGACTAAAAGCTGGTTTTCCAGCCTTTGATGGAATACTCGCCCGAGTGGACTTTTGCGCGATGAAGGTTTTCTTTCAATAGAAAGTTCATCCCAATTAGATAGACGCGGGCTGCATTAGGAGACTAAAAGTGGAGTAAAGTCCATGTTTTGAGAAGCGGTCACAAACTCTCATTTTCTTTGAAGCTGCAAATGCATGTTGCCTCGTCATTTATATGACTACAAGGACGGATGCATTTGGGTGGAGGGGATAAAATCACTTTGAATTAACTTCTCGTCCTCATGTGGTCAGCAGATTTTTCCAGAGAACTTGCTTTGAAATTTGATTTTTTTTTACGAAAGACGAGCAGGATAAAAGTTATGTATACACTGTTTAATCGTTAATATCTCTTTTCCCAAGAAGTCTTTTGCCTTGCTTCAGGTACCATTTTGTAGAGCTGCTTCAACTTATATTTGCAATAAGAACGAATCACCTATTTTTCTTCATTACTGTAGGATTACGGTAGAAACTTGAAATAATGGTGTCAATGTGGAAAAAGCTGCCGTTTCAGAATTTTTCAAAAAAAAGTGAAAACTTGTGTAATAGGGTTTTTATGGACGCTGAGTTCAATACTCAACTACACAAGATTGCGAAGCTTTCTAAACGGTGTAACGGCACTTTTTAGGAACATTGAAAAAAAGGCCGCTACCTCTCACCTGGCATAACTTTTCAATGAAGCATCATAATAAGTTGGGAACTTTACAGTTATAATCAGCAATTCTAATTAGCCTAGTGTAAAAACTTTCAGGCTGTTTTGTTTCCTTTCTGAGGCAAAATATGGCCTTTCATGGCTCAAAATCCTCTTTGAAGTTTTTACCGTAATCCTACAGTAATGAAGAGAGATGGGTGATTCGTTCTATAATGGAAATCTAAGTTGAAGCCAGCTCTACAAAACGGTACCTGAAGCAAGGCAAAAGACTTCTTGGGAAGAGAGATATTAACGATCAAACGTTCGAAACATTTTTTGGGACACCATGTATAATATATAAAGAAATGTAAGCGCAATTCAACAATCTGCAATAGTGGAAAACCGCGTGGCGGCCCCGAAGCGCGCAGATGCAATCTGGCATTTTTAATTACTGTGTCACTAGTTGCGAGAACGAATTCCCCTTTTACATTACAGAAGATTACGAAATACCCTTTGTGGTATTTGTAAAACCACTGCCAATAATCTACAGCGAGATTAGTAAGTGGAATTTAAGAATATGCAAGGAAAATCGGAGTAAAACAGCAGCACGTGAAAAAAAGGCGGTTTTTATATCATTCGAGGGCTATAGCAAAGCAGAAGAGACGAAATTTGGTAAACGTAAGTATTCCTCAGTAGAGTTTGAGCTGAAGAATAGAATTGTGTGAAAAATTTTGGAAAATTATGCGAAGAATTGAGAAATTATGACTTTGTTTGCTTCCGCGCAACCCAGGGTGCTCTCAAGTGGAGGGAGCAACCTACCCTTCTCATTCAATTCCCAAAATTCTCTCTCTTATGCAGTTTATATTGAGAACCAAATACTGATACAAAGATTCCTCCATTTTTTTCTTGGAAAAGAAATTGTAATCCAGCTTATCAAGAATGCAAATCAAACGCTCAAAAAAGCTTTTCAAACATTGGCCATTTTCCAACACTCAGTGTTATATATGTACCTATATTAGGTTGTCCCATAATTTTTTACCTTTTTACTACAACCGTCGTCTTTTTGTATCTTTCCCTCAATGGATGTGACTTGAGTAATCATTCAATAGGGTAAAGCAAGCTTTAAACATGGCTATAAAGAATCCGCCCAATTCTTATTTTACCGGAAGTTTGAGCTGAAATCTGATTTAGTAGTGTGTTCTTTATAGAAGCTGTTGTGTGCAAACCGATCAGCATCAAACTTTACGAATATATGTTTTCAACACCGGCCCACCCGTAGGCCAAATTTTGCGGCAAAATTCCCACTCTTTCTTTGAAGAACAATGAACTCTTATCAAGAACTATCAGTCCATTCCAAATTTCGTGTATACAATAACGGTAAGATTTTTTTTCATTCCACGATGAGGAATTGCGGTGATTCACGGCCATGCGGACAGCAATTATCTGGCTCGTGTTACCGGAATACAGAAGGGAGCCAAAACGCAGATAATATTGTTTACACGAACCTTTAAAGTTACTCATCAAGTTTGCTCTTTGTTGAGCCAGTTAAATCTACGGTGCAGGGAAGCTGGGCATGCCAGCTAGTTCTAAATGAAACTATAATTTTTGTATGACTACAACTGAGTATTCAATATTGCGTATGTTAGAGGAAGCAAGAGCAGGCAGGAAGCACCAGCCGGTTAGCTTTTTCATGCGCGAGAGGACGGGTAAATCATATATTGGAAAAGCAAACTTGAACCACGAAGCAGTGATTTGAAAATGGCTTTTTGACTTACTCACGAAAAATTCTGTACAGCAGAGACTACTTGAATTTCCTCTAGCCATGAAATAACCTCTGAAGCATAGGTCTCTCAATGATGGCAGCCAAGTATGTCTGCCTATTCTTTTATAAAAGCATTTATATCCACACAGATGACCTCGAGGAAAAACTTGCACAATTTTCCAGATTTCTACTCTTTCATTTGCCCATATCACGTGGTATATTGTATTCATGACAGCTATAAACTCGCTTGGTTCAGCAAAATCAAATCTGTGGAAGATGCTGATACTGGCAAAACATTCTAAATTAGACCCACAAAGTTCACAAAACTTTTAAAGCGAAGTTGCATGGCAAATTGCACTTAAAAAGAGTCATTTCATGATTTACATGATCAAGTCCAGTTCGCGACGTCGCCACTGTTTCTTGCGTCCGTTCTCTTCATGCCAGAAGAACTTTTTTCCGCAAAGGTAATGATCAAGCGCGACGGACGAAGTCTCCGCTAAGTGTCCATCCTAAAACGATGGTTAAGTGGACTTATGACGTAAATGTAGAGGTACCATTACTTTAGAGCAAGATAGTCATAATTGGTGCATTGCTATAATTCGACAAAAGGAAGGTTGTGGAGACTACGATGGGAGAACTTCGGTTAAGCGCCTTTACAGTCACCTGGATCAGCCGATTATCAAGCAGTTCTCAGATAGTTTCAAGTTACTCTGGTGCCGATCTCCGTCCATGTGAATGTCTGATTGGCCTAAAGGGAAACGAACTTTGATGCAACGGAACATAGAGCGCTCCATACCACTACCCCACTCTTTCTTCATTGGCAAAAATTGCTTTTATTACTTCACCAGAACAGAAATTGAGAAAGATACCAGTAATCATTTGATAATAGTTGTTGCAGCAAAAAGACGTTGGTCGTTTTTGAAGAGTGCAAGTAATCAACACTTCTCATTTCACTCAATCTGTTTATTTACGGCTTCTTTGCGCACACTGTCCGTAATGAAAAACATTGCACCGAATCCTATTGATGATGGATAGACAAATGCGTGCTGCAAATAACCGGTGGCAATAAGGCGGGTTTTTACAGTTTTCACAGCGATTTAGTTGCTTGTCATTGTGAACGGCTGTCCACATTAGCTTAGCCGTTGTTCGGCAAGGGCGACTAGACTCATACGGCTTATTAGGACGAGGAATGATGGACGGAATGGTTTCTTACGATGGGATCTGATGCAAAAGTTCCTGCGTAATTCGTAACTTTGCATTTACTGAACCTAAATTCATCAGTATCTTTTCCAAAATATGGTATTAGGTTGAAAGGAAAAGAATGTCGCTTTTTTTCTTTTTCTTTGGCTAAAATTTATGGTCCATAAGGACTCAGGCAATCCAAGGCAGTAATTTTATCAAAGTTTCGAAGGTTTGTAGAATGCAATGGCATAAAAAGAATGACAAGACTCTGGAAGCGAAGTTGCCTTTTTCCGTTTCCCAATTATTTCTTGATTCCCAAGCATGAAAAAATTATAGCAAGTGTAGCTATGGATAATTGCATGTATTAGGTACAAGCAAGGGCAAGTGAGGGGTAGAATTTTTTGGGGGGCAGATATCCGGTTTCAGGCATCATGAGTTGCTCTTATCTTTTAGCTCCGCACTTTGGGTAAATCCAACTTCTGGCAATGTTCAAAAACCAATTTGTAGAGCTTCCTTTGCTCTATCGATTGGTACCCCCCACATATTTTGGATATGTCTTATTGCTTTACTATAAAAAAACGGCATTCTTCTCTTCCCTTTTAGTCTAGTAGAAGGTATGCACTTTATAATAGACTAGCTGGCTTGCCCGGCGCTCGGCCCTGTCAAATCACTATGATAAAGCTCTCATCCGTATCCTTGTCTTTCCCTGCGTCCACGTCTATATGCCATTTCCCTATTCCCGCTGTTTTAGTAATCAGCATGCTCGATTACCCCCTGTGCCAACTCCCAGCCCTGTAGCTTAAACTTTTCAAATAAATCGATAAAATCGATAAAAGCAATGGATAATTCTAAAAACTTATTGTGTTCGTACTCAGCATGCTCGATTACCTCCTGTGCCAAATTCCAGCCCCGCAGGTGAACTCTGCAAAAAAATTGATAAAATTCTATAAAACGATATCGATCGATGACGAAAAGTGGCCTATGACACCCGCCGCTCCGAAGTGTATGTGTGCCACGTTTGGTCCGGATCGGTTCAGAAATGGAATTTTCTATTCGGAACATACGTACACACATACAGAGACAGACATACAGACAGACATACAGACAGACATACACACAGACATACAGACAAACAGACATTCAGCTTTATTTATAAGATAATGAAACGTGAATTGTTATGAGCTTGCCATAGGAAACCAAGCTTTCAGAATTTGAGATTTTGGGTTAGGTGTTAAGGAACTGCAGAGGCCCTTGAAGCATACCTCCGGTGGCAAGCTCTGATGTTGAAATGGTGATGGTTAAGCATCAGTAGCTGTCAAGGAACGCCACTTGTACGATACTAAAAATGCACAATGATGGATCTAGATTAGGTACTTACGATTACCGATTTTTAAATCACGCGAGAACTTTTGCACCAGTTCAATACTATGCCTTGCGGCTTCCAAAAATGCCTTCATCGTTTGTCTGTTCGAGGAGTTATTAGCTATTGTTCAATAGAATGAATACGCGAAAACATAATTAGTCGTATTATATTCCTAGTTTTTGGAGCAATAATAAGGCACTCTATAGACATTCACTTTTATCTAAATATAACCACTCACCGCCGCCTAGTTCAGCCAATCGTAGTCGCGCATTCAATTTCTTGCTCACTGACGCTCATAACTTCATATAAGAAAGGTTCCGCAAATGAGAAAAGTTGATTCAGAGTTAACTCTTTATTTCCTCTAATAAGGAAAGCTACCTAACTTAGGCTCGGCTTTCTGGAAAGACATGTATAGTCTAAAAAAGCTTCAAACGCTGATTCCAATTATGTTATTTCTAGCTGCCACGCTCCACTCCGAAGCGAGTTATAGGCTTTTTCCTACGCAAAATTGTCATTCTACTGAACATGAGAAGACTGCCTGTAGATTAGAATCTGCAAGAAAAAGGTGCTGAGGTACCGAGATAGTACAAATCCAGTCTTTTCTACTAAAAAAAAGTACTGTATCAGCACTTACATGGTGATGACGTGATGCCCGTGAGTCGATGAGCATGCCAACTTTGCGCAGGAAAAAGCCCATAACTCGCTTCGGAATGGTGCATGGCAGGTAGAAATAGCATATGTGGAATCAGAATTTGAAGCTGATTCAGACTATTACTATGTACCTTGCCAAAAGGCCGAGCTAAGTTAAGTGGCTTCCCTTGTAAGATGGCAGACATTCCATCTTGAAAGTTCATTTTGACTAAGCACTCAGTTCCTGTGAAACGGTGAAGATGTATCAGGTCTCGAATTCTGAATGCCAATGCAGACATGCAAAAAAAGAGACTATATCTATTTGTAAATGATTAAAAATTGTGCGATTTAAGTAATCAGGAAAATTTTTCAGACGTTGTGGACGAAAGTATAGCACTAAGTTCACAAATAAAGTGCAAACACAATTCGCTTTTTCATTTTTTATTGCTGAAATAAAGGTCGTCCCAAAAATTTCGCTTTCTGAACAAGTGCCACATTCCGTCCAGCAAAACATACTGAAGATATTGGGTTTAGAGCACTTGGTGCAGTTTTTCACACTCTTCCACGATTATGTCTTTACTGCAGTTTCACTAACAAACTTTCAAAAAACAAGTTAGGCGCCATTCAATACAGCTATTTTCCTTAACAGGTGTTTTTTGTTCTAAAATATAAGATCAACATTATTTATGTTCTGGAAGCCGTCCCAGGTTGTGACCGGACAAAACAAGATTTGATATTCTAAATCAGTGGCACTCATTTGCATTGTGAAAATAGTGTTGATTTATAATCCACTTCTGGTTTAAAGTCCAAAGATTTATTGGTGTTTGGTACGTGAACGCCTGAGGTAGGGCATCTAAACTTCTGTGTTTTGATAAAACTCTATCAAGAACTATGTTGAGCTCTAGGCATGGAGAAAGAGTTGCCTTGTACTCTGTAAAGTTCGCTCCAATCAACACATTGGCGGACTTCTTCGGGGACTGGTTAGAGATTTGGAAAGATAGCAGAATTTGACCATACCAAGACTAAGAGTATTTTTTGATAATTTTCTGAGAGCTCGTTTGCTAAGGTGCAATAAGAACGAAACCATTTGGAAGAGGATGAAAAACTGCATAAAATACGACAGATTCTTTCCTTACGAATACTATAAGGGAAGGCACCTGACTTAGCTAAGCTTTTTGGAAAAAGACATACTTGAATCAGCTCCAGAAGCTAAGCTTTTTGGAAAGAGACATACGTAAATCAGCTTCAGACGATGATTTCAAGTACGCTATTCCTGGCTGCGGAGCTTCACTTTGGAGCGAGTTATGGGCTTTTTGCTATGCAAAATTGGCATACTACACAAAATGGAAAGGTTGCCCCTAAGTAAATCAATCTGCCCGAAAAAGGCAGGGATATTGAATCAACATCAACACTGACAAGGAACTCAAAGCAAGTGTATTAGCAATTGTGTGATGATGCCATGATGACAGTAAGTCGATGAGTACGCAAATTATGCACAGAAAAAAGTCAATAACTCGCTAAAGATTGTTGTGCCGAAGCTAGAAAGAATAGCATATGTATCAGCATTTGGAACTTTGAAAAATATATGTTTTTTCACAAAAAGACCGAGCTAACTTAGATACCTTCTTTTGTTAGTTCAGCGGGCGCTTGCACAAGGAAGAGAAATTACTTAAGAAGATCTAATATATTATACAAAAGCTGACAAAGTAATCGTACCATTGAGATTTTTGTCGATCAAATCTTACTTATGAAAACCTGGGTTGAATGAAAGATAACCGCTGAATCTGCACTTGTGTTCCGCAGTGCGCCCTTGCTTTGCATCCAACATCTCCTTTAAAATTACCTTAAAGGACTTTTCCACAAAAAATGTAAAGAATTTCCTGGAAAACGCAAGCCAGAACCGCCGTTTCCGTTTCTTTTCCTTTCGATGCATTAATCCCAGAAACAAGGACATCAGTGACACATTGCAGAATTTCCGGTTTCTTTTTTGTTGTTTGCTTCAGTAGTATCCGCAGCATGTTTTAATTAAGATGATGGGTAGGGCTTTTAGCTTCGCTTTGATAGATCAGGCGATGTAAACTTCAATAATCAAGATCCTGCGGCAGAAGACAAACGGTTGTAAGAACATAACAGCCGTACCATTTGCTACGTAAGCTGGACTGGACTCCGTTTGATTTGGTTAAGCCATGCATTTAAGTTAACTGCCAAAGCGCTACTACCCCTGCATTACATACCATTTAATTCAACTGGCTTGGCTTGGGAAGGCGGAGCTTTGTGACCTAATTAAGGCTAGGTAATGATCAAAGAGCCCTCGCGTGGGAGAGAGCAGGTGCGTCGCGGGCGCGTACGGTCTTAATTAGGTCACAAAGCCCCTCCTTCCTGAAGCTATGCCAGTTGAATCAAAGGTTACTTCGATTGATATCAAGCTTGCGAATAATATGAATGTGTTATGAATGTGGCGAAAGTTCAAGTCGCGGAAGTGACGACGAGAAGAGCGAAAGTTGAGTAAAAGTCACTGCATTCCGGTTTTTAAAAGCTTTTGTCTCTCTGGGTCATGCGCACCGCTGACTTCGTTGCCACAAAGCCGCCTCGCAGGCTAGTTTCCATGGAAGAGCTATTGAACAATTCATGTGGAGACTGTTT